GGGTCATTCCTGTTCTTCCACACTGTGTTACTGTACACTCTGGTCTGATTGCTGTGATGCTGTCTTATATGTCCCCACAGAATTGCCAAGGACCCTCGGTTTGAACGCTTGCCATGTATGCACAAAGGAACCTATGCAGATGACTGCTTGGTACAGAGGGTCACTCAGGTATTTCTGTTTCTGATAGTTCCTATACAGTGCTAACATACTAAAACCCTTCTAGTTACGGATGACTTAAATTTCCCACAAAGTAACTGTAAAATCTCACTAAGGTGCAGATTCTGTTCCTAACGCAGTTTTATCTGAAGTAAATTACAGCCGCCTTTGAGCATTCTTACTGTATAGGACAGCACCAAGAAGCACTTAGGATGGGAAAGCTATCAGCTGGGAAGGCTGGACAGGCTTTGGATGTTTCTACAAATCTATTTTGATGAGCAGAAGGGTATTACTAGTCTGTTACTGAATTCTGTGTAAGTCCTAGTAATGCCTCTGTAAGGACTCATAGCCCTCCTGTGTTAAATGAGCTCACTGACTAGAATCTTTTGCTCAGCTATGTATCCTTTCCGCGGGTTCACTGGTGTGGAACTTCCACTTCCTGTTCTTTTTTGCAGCACAAATGTTACATTGTGGCCACAGTGGATAAAGAGCTCAAGCGGAGAATACGAAAAATCCCAGGCGTGCCGATAATGTATATTTCCAGGCACAGGTAAGGGCTCTCTGGCAGGGAGGAGCACTGCCTGGTACAGTCTGGTAGGGACTCTACCACCACATACTTCTCTCCTGCACTGTCTGTAGTGCACACTGTCTGTAGTGCAGGTTACAGTCAAGGCCTTAGTGTTTGCACATAATAGAAGTACAGCTGCTGCTGGGAATAGACCTGTCACAGACCTGCTTTTATTGCAGCCTACATGTTCACTTGCTTTTATTTGGAAAACTAATTTCCTTTAGGCCAGTGTTCTTCTAGATTAGTTTTGCTTTCCAGCAGCAGCGGGAGGACTACCAGGCAAATGCATTCTACAGGTTCTTTGGGGGAAAAAAACCAACATTCTTCTTCCATATTTTGTTTGGTAGCTTTTTGTACCCTTAGCTAAGGCTGTATTTGCTTCTTAGCTAAAAACCAAACCAACTCAGAAGGATACTAGTGCAGCAATTTCAATACTACAGATTTTTCCACTATCGGCAAGTACTGGCTCACTTTTTTTTTTTCATATGCAAGCAAAATATGCTGTAAAAACATTTGCTTAAATTAATTTCCCATTCCTTCCAAAGCATTTGTAAAACCTATACTAAGAAGACTTTACTCACCTTTGTCATGTAGTGTTTTAATATTTTTTTCTACATAATGCACAGCCCAGAAGATTTAGCTTGCATTAAACCTGTACCAAATTGTTTCACATTATGGTAGACATATTTGGTAGCATGGTAAGGAGAGAGGTCAGGATGTGGAGATAAAAAGGCCAAAGTCTTTAGGTGAGATGGGAGAGATACTGGAAAAGAGGCAGTTGTGCTAGCAGTGGAAACAATGAGTCTAGTGATATGCAGAGCCAGTGGTATGTCAGAAATGAGGAGGTTGATTGCTAGCAATATGTAATCCTAACTGGTCCTTAATTAGAACATGGCTCAGAAGATTTTTCTTTCAAACCATCTTTGCCCCTTACTCACTGTGGCCATGAATTGTAAGTGGAATGGCCAAAGTTTTATTCTCCATGGTGGTTGCTCTTAAATCCTGTCAGATCTTACAAAACTACTATTTTTTTCCAGGAGACAGTGAGTTTTTGAGATGCCTGATTTATAAGTTTGAGGTGAAGGGTAACAGTAACCTTATGAAGGCTTTTCACTTTTTGAGGTAATACTTTTCTTCCTGGGGATCTGAGCTACAGATAGAAATGCAACAAAGCTGTTTACTGTTCAGTCTGCCTGGAAGCCTGTTGCTGCATGGGGAGGGGAGCAATATGGAGTAGGTTGTCTTCATAGGTTTTCCCTCTTTCTTTCTCAGATACAATATTGAGAGGATGCCAGATGATTACGGAGCTCCTCGCTTCTAACCTGTCAGCCAAGCCGTCAATGCCAGGGCTCTGAGCCAGGATAAGGGTTCTTCTGGTTCCAAGCCTCCTGCTTTCATTTTTGCTGGGACTTTACTCATAGGACTGCAGGTGACATTGGACTGACTTCATATCGTTGATCTTCTAAGAAAAAGCTACTTGAAAGAGACTGGTTTTATTCATCCTTGTTCTGACTTGGACTGATTACCTATGGCTGGGAGAATAATATGGGAAATAGAAGATGGCAGTGCACAGAACATGCTTCACTCCCTTTTTACTGGGATCAATGATTTCTGCATTCCAAATTAAATATTGGTGATGCAAGTCTGGCTGAGAATGCTGCACCTACAGCAGGACAAGTACTCTTCTGGGAAATTCCCTCACATCCAATTTCCCATGAGCAAATTGGAACCCATATTCTGGAGAAAAGACATCAAATCTGCACCAGTTGGCATGCCTGCTCTGGACAACTGGTCTAGAAGATTTTAATTCAGAATTGGTGGGCTTTTATTCAGCTGTACAATGAATGAAGTTTGGTTGAGTGTCCTGCTCAGTCAGATTTCCGTCTCTATTGGGTTAGTTGGCAGCCCAGTCGGTCCTTTTGCTTGCATGTAGTATGGTGGCAGGACAGTAGGGTTGGGTCAGACCTCTCGTTTGATTGGCCTCTATCCACCTAAAAGCCTTATCCCTTTTTGTTAGGCATCAGGGAAGAGGAGGAAGGTATCAAACTATGACAGGAAGGTATTAGCGTGGCCTGGGAGAAGAGTCAGTGGGGGAAATTGGAGCAATGGCTGCAGATCAAGAGACTCAGAGAGACCTGCAGCCTTTGCTACAGGGAAGGAAGTGGTCAGAGGAGGGAGGATAAAGATAGTTAAGCCACATGAAGAAATGCAGGGGAAAATATTTTAAAGCCATAACTCTGCATTCTTGTATCTTCTCCGTTACTATTCAATTTTTAGTGACATAATTTGCTCTTCTGATCTCAGCTCTGTGATAAGAACTGTCTCAAACTGAGAGACAAGAGACAATATGAGGGTCACCAAGGGCCAACAAGCTGACGTGTGCTTCCTGGGCAAAATGCTGGTGTAAAACTATAGTAAAGAGGGAGACTGAAAATTTATATTCTTGGTGTAATTAAGAAAATGTTCAAACTTTAATACAGACTTTATCCTGTGGTGCCTTGCACTGGTTTGGCTTTTGCAGAGTATAGCTGAACTCAGCTGGCTGTATGCTGGACAGCATACAAGGAAGATGATTCCCTTCCTCTGTTAATCATTTCCTGTCCTTGGGAAATGCCCTGACATGCTAATAACCTTGCTAGCACCCTGTCTCTACAGATACTGCAGGAAACTTCGGGAACACATCAGACTTAGCCCTTGTACTATCTTTTTGTTTGCTGCAAGCTCACCTACTAAACATCCCTGAAATAACCTGACTCATCCCTGAAATAACAGCATACTGGCACTTTCAAAACATAGTCCCTTCCAAGCTGTCACAACTGAAGTTTATCTTCTCCATCTCCAGCTAGGAAAAAGGTATAAACTGTGGGTAGGAATCAAAGTAAATGTGCCCATTTAGTGCATTTTTTTACTCCTGAAATTAATGATCCTTGTAATCTGCCTACTTCTAGTAACAGGAGGAAGAACCTGGAATAGGCATAAGGCAATTGCTGAAGAAGTGTTAAGAGGGTTGGAGGATGATGAGCAGCAGGGAGAAAGTATTGGCAGTGAGCAAAACTCATTTTTATTAACCTGAGCGTAATCTGCAAGACAAGAAAAATGTGGCTATTAACTAAAAGAACCTAGTCAGAACAGGAGAGGACCACCTGAGTAATCAACTGCCACCCCGACAGTCCCAGGAACCTGTGTACCAGACGCTTGGTACAGAGGAAAATAATTACTCCATGCACACCATGGCATCCCAACCTCAGATCCAGTTTAGAGTGCGTCAAAGGAGGAAAGATCATTATGACAGGAAAGACTTTTGTAAGCAAGAATGTTTTCATGTCCTTTGAATGCAAAACACTTCCAGTCCAAACCAGAATTCCTTCCTGACCCAACTCTGGCAGTTGTTTTAAACCTGCACATGAGTTAGATATCAAACAGATGCCTGCAATGTTTCTCAGAAACTCTAGGGAATACAGCCTCCCCACTAACATCCTGTCTTTTGCTGTAGCCAGTTTCCATTTTTCTCAGAGAACAATCAGAAAAGCCATGAAAGGAGGCCTGAAGTGACGCAAAGAATGGGAGAAAATAGTTTCTGCTCCTTTCTGGGGGCCACCAGAAGGGCCAAGATACTGCAGTGTTACCACCAAATGATGTGAAACTTAAAGCTGCTGATCCAAGACATGACACTGGTAAGTGGATAACTGAAATGCGTAGAATAGCATTTAGAAGCAGAAATAGCACGAGCTATGAAAAATACGAACTAAACCCAGCACGATGACATACATTAATGTTGCAGACTGTGAAAGAATGAGGGCGTAATGTGAGCTTGACAGGGTTGCTTTAGGACAAGGTAATATTGGGTAAAGACAAAGTATCTTGGCTGGCAGGAGTCAACTCTACTGCTGCCCAAGCCAGATCCAGGTATTGACATCAGCATCTGTGAAGTTACTTGGAAGTTACACTTTGACCTCCTTGATGTTGGCTGGAAAACAATTACTATTGAAAATGATTGAGTATGTGTGTTTATTCATATGGGAAGTAACAGTTTCTTCACAATATTGAGTAACCACAACAAACAGCAAGAATACTGGGAGAGACCTGCCTGCAGGAAATAACCTTGAGTAAACCAATTACAAGAGAACTCCCTTTGAGTGAATCAATGAGAAGGATAAATCAAAGGATGTTT